ATACCTCCGATACAATGATCAATGTACTATGGTGAACAAGACATAAAAGGTTTTAAATGTGTGTGTTGATATTTTGTTAATATTTTCATTTTTATAGAAATAAACTCAAATAGAAAAAAACCAGTTAAAATATATGATTGGGCTATTTAATATAGTGGTTTCAAAACTGAAGTGTCTGCACTGGATTTGGAGTCTGAAGACCTAGACTCAAGAATGACATATGAAAATAATATACTTATATAAATAATAACAAAAGCAGGTCTCAATGCACACGTGCAATTCCAACACTCTGGGAGGCTGAATCAGGAGGATGGCAGATTCAAGCCAGGACCAGGCAACTTAGTGAGACCCTAGATCAAAATTTAAAAATAAAAAAGGATTGGGATGTAGCTCAGTAGTTCAGTGTGAAAGCCCTGAGTTCAATCCCCAGTACCACCAAAAAAAGAAAAGGACTGAAAGAGAATTACAATAAAATGTCATGGAAGTTCAGGGATAGTAAGGTTTTAAAGGATTACTAATATCCTAATATGCAGAAATAAAAGGGAAAAGGTATTCTACCATTTACTGTACACCTACTATATGTAACACCCTGTGCCAAATACTTTCCATGCATTGTCTTTGTAATTCTTATAACTGTCATTGCACAGATGATTACACTAACACTCAGAGATGTTAGGTATTTGCCTCTAGAGCAAATAAATGCAAAGCCAAGAATGAGATGACCAAGTCTATTTTACTAAAAGCCTTTAACCATTCCTTTACAATATTCTGACTTTTACAGGGATGAAAATAAGAGGGGATAATCAAGACTCAAATAATATTGAACCTAGTATCACTATTAGTTTCAAAAACTGGAATGCAACTTACTTCCTGTGCTAGGAAATGATCTGCCATTTATTAGCTGAATAAGTCTAAGGCAAAGCTTCTTAAATTTTTCTACTTAAGGACAGAAGAATCTAAACACATATCCAGGAATCCTTAAGCATAAGCATAAGGTTTCTTTTGGCCAGGGATTTAGCTCAGTGATGCCACTGCCTGCCTCGAAAGCCCAAGGTCCTGAGTTCAATCTCCGGTACTGAAAAAAGAAAAAAGCATAAGGTTTCTTCTGAAGTCTTTGCCTTTTACCTTAGAAACTACTGTGAATGTTACATTCTTCATATAGACTTTTTGTGTTTTAATATAGTATTTTTCCCACACCTTCAAGTGAAATTGATGACAACTCCATCAACATGTGCCATGTTATATGACCACAGGCTTATCTCCTAGCACACTGAAGTACATGTCTAATGGTGAAAATACTCCAATTTGAAAAGCATAGGTCAGAGAGAACAGAATAAGTTGTTTTTTCATTAGTCAAGAACCAAGACCCAGACATGATGGTGCACGCCTATAATTCCAGCACACAGGAGGCTGAAGCCTCTGGCAATCCTCTAGAGTTAGAGGCCAGCCTGGGCTACAAAGTGACACCCTGTTAAAAAAAAAATCCATACTGAGAATTATTTAGTACCAAATATAACTCAAGTCAGTTATTGACCATAGCCTTATTTGCAAGAAAGCCATTCTGACCACACACAGAAAGGAAACACCCTTCTCTCCACAACATCCCAGGAATAAAGAATATCTATCTGCCAGAGTGGGAATGCACCTCAACAGTTCCCATGAGCACTTTAAGGCCACTATAAGAAATGAGGTCCTGGACCTAGAAACCCTTAAATAGATTATGCAGAAATGTTTAATCAGCCTTGCCAATGTTCCCCTCTATTCAAAGATAATCAATAGACACCTTAAATTTTTTTCCAAAGTGCTTTCAAATGCATTATTTTATTCAGCTTCAGAGTCCACCCAGATGAAAACAAAAGCAGTCATTATCCCCATTTTACAGCATAAGACGTCAATGGTAGAGTAAGTAGCTCTTCCAAGATTGCAATCAGTAGCAAAAGGAAGATTAAATCTCATCTGATTTCCAGTTTACTGATCTTCTAAGGGAAACTGCACATCTTTTCTTATTTATTTTGAAGTGTTTTTCAAACTGCAGCACACACTAAGTATATCACACAGTGTCCATTCAGTAAGTTAGTGATAAACTCGACTTAACAAACAGAAAAAGAGACCAAACACAATTATGTAACTAGGAACATAGGCCAATACCCCTGTCCTCTTACAGTACGTTGCTATAATTGGATTCTACAATGAGGAAAAAAAGAACTAAGAAGTGGGAGGATGGGAGATAAACACAGGTTAAAATTCCCTCACCAAATAAATAAATCCGAATTCAAAGGTTTTAATATTTGGTTTTTTACCTAAAAATATACTATTATGGCTTACTTGGCCTTTCCACAGCTGTATATTAATTTTTCTTTCCTAATGGAATAATTTACCTCCCCATTACATCTTTCTCCTAAATGAAACCTCCAGAATGTGCCACATAAAGGAAAATGGGCTCTTAGGCGTTTCTCCTGTCTAGTAAAATGCCAGTGAAACATATGCCAACACTAAAGACAAAAAGAAAAAAAAGCTACTTGGATTTACTGTGAAAAAAATTATAGCATCTTTAAAACCTACGTATTAATTTCCGTAGCATTAACTTTTTGAAGCATCATGAACTCCATAAAAAAAAAAAAAGAGGAAAATACGTAAATGTTAGGATCACAACCTATGAATCTGGGTGGAACAAAGACTTCTCCTTTCATTATGCAGAGAGAACCAAGTTGTCCAAAAAACCCTCCCCTCAGATACCCTGGGTGGTTACCAACGCCTGGTCTGGGTATAGAAAGGAAAATTCTGGTCAAATGCTACCTCTGCCTATCCTGCTCCACCTCCCCCTTTTGCAAAACGCTTCGCCCCAGAGCTGGAGCCCCAGTCTTTTTCCCCCCAATACAGGGAGGTGGTTTAACCCTCTGAGTTCTACAACCTCCTATGCCTTTTAGGCACGCTTCTCCCGGCACAAACCTCGTTCCAAATCCAGTCGCTGTCCCTCTCTCCCACACTTCCCAGACCCCCCAAAAACCTGCTCTCCCACTGACCACTGACGTCAAAAAGGCCAAACCCGGCCCCGCGGGACCGCCCAGAGCCGCCGCCCGGCCCCCAGCCCCGTCGCGCCCTCCCGTCCTCCCGGCCAAGGCGTGCCCAGCCAGGGGCGCGAGCTCGCTCCCCAGTTTCCGCACGGGCTCCGCAGAGGGCCCAAGAAGGGAGAAGCAGCGCAGTCATCCCCTCCCGTCCTTAAGCAGCGGCGAGGTGGACACGAACCCTGCGCTCGCTTGCTTCTCAGGTCCAGGGCGAGGGACGTCGCTCTGCGCCCCAGAATGCGGCTGGCATTGAGGGAAAGGTGTGGCCCAGAAGAGGCGGCCTCGAGTGGGGGCCGGGCGGTTCCCGGGTCCTCATATTGCGGCGCTGGGCCTCACCCACGACCTGTCTCCTCCCAGTCACCACCCGAGACTATCCAAGACCCTTCTCCCGCGCCGCGAACGCCGCCCTCTGGGACCCCGGCTCGGGAGCTAGTCAGGTGGTGACTGGTGGCGACGGGTGACCATGGCAACCCGAGGTGTGCAGCGGCCCGCCTCCGTCTCCCGGGGTCACTCACCTGAGGGCTCCGAGACGAGCCCGGAGAAGCGTGGAAGGAAAGAAAACGCGGCTGCGAGGCCGGTGGCCGGGCCCCGAAGCTGTCGGCTCCGAGTTGGAGCGGGGGCGTGAGGGCGGCGGTCTGGGTTTGGCGTGGGTCCTTCCTCGTGCCGCCTGCGCGTCAATCCATCAGTCCGTCAGCCCGTCCTCCTCCCGTCCGCCCCTCCCGGGCCGGCGACCGCTCAGCTCAGCCTCTGGCAGACTGCGGTTGTCAAGCGCTGCTGGAACTGAGCTCCAGCCACCAGCTGCAGCCAATCGCCGCGCCTCCTGAGGCGCCTGAGGACCCCGTCGCGCAGGGCGGCCAGGCAGGTGCCTGCGCCGAAAGGGAGAGTCGGCTGGGTGGGTCCAGGGCCCTAGCGGGGCGGGGTGGAGGGACCCGCTTGCCTGGCGAGCAGTTCGGTGAGAGATGGTTAGCCAGACTGAGACCCGGAGCAGCCAGGTGACCCTGCGTCCCAAAATAGCGCGGTCGGCGCTATCGCTTCTAAATAAAGAAGTCGTCTGAGCATTAGGATTGACTCTTAATACCCCACCCAGGTAATTTATTAATAAAGGCTAATAAGATAAGTCTTCCCTCTCCTTGCTTTCTCAACTCCACATTCTCCCTGAAAACTCCAGTAGTTTATTGGTCTGTCCCCTTCCTGATTTCTCATTTTGTGAACCTGATCTACCTTGAAGCAGTTTTCAGTTAACATTTAGCATGTTCTCTTTTTTTGACTACCCCTTTTGATTGGAAGCACTTTTATTACCATCCCATAGGTGCAGTCGTATTCCACAAATACACATGATGCTTAACCGAGGTGAATTAAACAAGGACTATAATGATACTGTACAGAGCTACAGAAGAACACAGAACTATAAACCTGTAAGAACCTCGTCCTCACAAAGGCCAGAGTGAGCTGAGCCTCACTAAAGTGGAAAAATAGGGTGAAAGAGATTGGTAAAGACAATAATCAAAAACATCTCTGGGAAGGAAGAATTTTGTTCAAGATAAAAGAAACCATAGCTTGAGGAAAGTTTCTAAGAAAAACGTTTTTTATTTTTGGGAAAACACCAAAGGCTGAATAGCAAAACAATTGCCTAGTTTGACTAAAGCCTGGAAGAAAGTCTTCATTATGAACCCTTTCAATGATCAGTGACAGATAAATAAACACAAGTTAATGTTACTGAAGGTCTTGACATTAAAAAAACTTTACAGAATGTTTAATTTGAAAAAGTGGGCAAGTATGAGATATCCTAGAAATAGTCTTGCAATTATTTGCCCAGTATTGTTAATCTAAGAAGCTACTTCTAAATTTTGACTCTCAAACAATAGTGTAACTGACACTGCAAATGGAACTATAAAAGTTAAAGTTTTTTTCTTTAAGAGATAAGCAATTTCTCCAAACTTTCTCCTGCTGAGCATATATACACTCCATCCTTCCCCAGCCCAGATGAAGTGACAGAATATGCAGATGCTGACACCAAGAGACCTGGAGCCCATTTTCCTTTCCACCGGAAAGACAAAGAGCTGAAGGTGGCTGGAAGTGATAAAACAAGTGTAAGGATTCATATTATCTCTCTGTGCTCCCGTCCCCTCTGTGCCCACTATAAAAGACCCTTGCCTACCTGAACATGGAGAAAGGGTGATTTAAGACAAGTGAATCTCTCCATCTTCTCGGAGCTAGCTTTGAATAATCCTTTTTTTCTTTTTACCAAACTATATAGCCTCCTTTGATTTGGTCAGCAACAAACAAATGAACCTAAGCGTATGAACTTAAGTGTCCTGTAACAATCGCAGTTAGAAAACTAATGCAAAGGAAAAAATAACTCCCAACCTGTTAGATGTCAGAAGTACTGAGTTCATGGTCGCACAACATGGAGGAATGAAGTCACAAACTAAAGGAGGAAGTTAGGAGAGTTTTATTGAAAATAAGAACAGCTCCTAGATTTCCAGGAGGGGTCCTGAGTGGGTGGCCACTGAGGCTGCTTTGTCAAGAATATTTTATATAGCAAAATCGCAATGTGGGTCACTGTTACAGGGAAGTAACTCCCAACCTGTTGGATGTGCCAAGTTCATAGCTCAGGACTCAAGGACATAGGTTAAGAGTAGGAAGTTTTATTAAGAGAAAGCTCCTGAGAGGCAGGAGGGGTCCCAAAAGTGGGTTGTCGCCGAGGCTCTTTTTCTAGGGGTTTTTATACCCCAAAATCACATCACAGGCTACCTTGGGTCAAACTATAATCAACCTAGAGGATTACAAGTACAGTCACTTAGCTAATATTTATCTAATAGAAAAACAAGGTATGCAACAAGGGAATACAGGCCAAAGAACAAAGGCATTTCTGGAAGGGGTAAGAGTGAGGGTCAGAGGGCCAGAGATTTGGCTCAGTGGTGTCACCACCTGCCTCACAAGTGCAAGGACCCAAGTTTGATCCCTGGTACCAAAAAAAAAAGAGTGACGGTCAGAGCCTTCTGGTCATCTATCTATGGGGAGCCTCGCAGGCCTGGCCACTGAATCTTGGTCTTAGGGCCTAGTTTCTATGAACTCACTCCTCAACCAAAAGTCTGGCTTGTCTCATCTCTATTCTGACTCTATCGGACTGGGTCCCTTACTAACCGCCTATCAATCTCTACCTAATTTAGCTATCTGCAATAACACTATAACCAACCTATAGAATTACAAGTATAGTCGTTTAGCTAATGTTGATCCAATAGGGAAATGAGGCATGTAACAAGGGGATATTTTGTTTTTCTTTTGTGTGTTTGTGTGTGTGTGTGTGTGTTTCTAGTACCAGGAATCGAATTCAGGACCTTGCACTCTCCAGGCAGGTGTAGTGCCACTGAGCTAAATCCCTAGCCCTACAAGGGTACATGGAAAGCAATGAGTGTATGGGTTCAGATATTCTGGTCATCCGCCTATGCATCTGATGCCTAGCTGGGCTCAGTGGACCAGATGGTGCTAATTACAGTATAACCCCAAATTGCAGTTTATCTCTAAAGAGACTTTCAAGCCTGGCTATCGGTCTCCACCTTGAGGCCTGACCTTCTTCAGATTCACTTCCAGCCACAATTTTGATGTGTCTTGATCTTGTGCACTGACTTCCTCCAGGGCCTAATCCCTCTGACTGCCTATTAATATTTAATTTAGCGGTCTCTATGCATCATTTAAATATTTAAATTTGCAATGAGATCTAGAAAGATATACTAATCAGAAACAAGCATTTGAGCACTACTAGGGGCAGAGAGCTAGAAAAATAGAAGAATTTAGCTTGGTGTGTGCTGTGTGCCTGCACTATGGGAGGCTGAGGCAGAACAATCACAAGTTTGAGTCCAGCCTAGGCAACTTAGGGAGACACTATCTCAAAATAAAAATTAAAAAGGGCTGGGAGGGCCAGGGATTTAGCTCAGTGGTTCTGGCGCCTGCCTTGCAGGCGTAAGGTCCCAAGTTCGATCCCTGGTACCAAAAGAAAGAAAAAGGGGGGGCTGGGAATATAACTCAATATGATGGCCCTGGATTCAAGCCACACTACCAAAAAAAACCCCCAAAACAAAAACAAGCCCCACCCACCCACACATATACAAAAGAATCTAATCTGGTGCTAGATTTTTTTGACATTTCCTTAATTAAGCACAAAATGATGCGTTTTGCCCATGTTTTCATTAAAGCCTCACAATCTCCTTAAAGAAACCTATTAATTATTCCAATTTTAGAGATTAAGGGGAAAACTTGCCCAAGATCACACAGCTGATGTGCAGCAGAGAATTCTAGCCATTCTGAGGTTTTGGTTGGTTGGTTGGTTGGTTTTTGTTTGTTTGCTTTTGATACAGGGTTAGACTATGACTACTCCGGGCTGGCCTTGAACTCACTATGTAGCCCAGGCTGGCCTCAAACATGCAGCAATTCTCTGTGTTGGCCCCCCAAATGCTTAGATTACAGGCATGTGCCACCAAGCCTAGCTACTCTTACTCTTAAGACCTTTTTTTTTAAATCCCACTCTACTATATTGTATCAACTGAATGTTTTACCTTGAATGAAGTGAACCCTAATGTAGGGAGAATCAGAGGTCTTATTTATATCCCCCTTACTCTATGGCATATTGTTATTTGCATCCAAATTTTCAATAAATAATAATCAACAGTACTAGAAACAAACAAATAACCTTTACGTTCCTGGAAAAAAGGAAGTGGAAGGACAGAAGTAAGCAGTTTCTGAAAACATAAGACATCTGTCATACCATTATCATTTGTACATTGATAAATGAATGCATTGACTGTGTATTTGCTTCCTATTATAACATCAGGTTTTACTCTACAAGCTTAATAACTGTTACCCAAGATATCACCTTTCCTTCTATACTCAGCCACACTGGTTAAGATTAGATCTTGTCTTTCACTCTAGTTGCTACAATAGCAGTGAATTGTTCAGAAAGACAAGGCTTTCTTAGATGAAGAACTGCCCTTAGATCCCAAAGTACTGCCTCAGTCATTCATCAAGCATTTGCTGAATGCTTACTCTAGTCAGAAACTAGGTTGAGGATCATTTGGAAATACAGGTTCTAACATGGCAGAATGATTCAGTGCCTTGTGACTTAAATGCCTATAAGCTATGGTGGACCCCTTTGAATATGATTCTCACATCTCATATATTAGACTCTAAGTACCTAATAAACATACTAAAAAATAAAAGGTTTAATATTTTAAAGAGTGCTTCACTTAAAGTAGGAAGGGATTAAGTAGGGAGGGATGAAAAGAAATGTAGACATATGAAACAAGTGTAATGAGTGATACCTTGCTTAGATCCTATTTCAAACTGCCATAGGCAGAATAATGGCCTGCAAAGATGTCCATGTCCTAATTCTCAGAGCCTGTACATATGTTACTTGATGTGGATTAAGTAAAAGACCTTGGAATGGGGAGGGTATCTTGGGTCATCCAGGTGAGTCATGTGAAATCACACAGACTGTGTCCCATGTGGCTTCAGAGGGAGACAAGACCACAGAAGAATCAGAGAAGCTGGGTATGGTGGTGCATGCCTGTAATCTCAGCTACTTGGGAGACTGAGACAGAAGGATTGAAAGTATGAGGCCATCCTGGGGAACTTAGTGAGACCCTGTCTCAAAATAAATGAAAACAGGGATGTGGCCCAGTGGTACAGTGCTCTCGGGTTCAATCCCCAGAACCAGAGGGGGAAAGGTCAGAAATGCAACACTGTTAGCTTTGATGACTGACGAAGGGTACCCTAAGCCAAGAAATGATGCCTGAAGTCTGTAGAAACTGAAAAAGGCAAGTAAACAGGTTCTCTCCTAAAACATAAATAAGGTACTACAATCCTCTCAGCACCCTGATTTTAGCTTAGTGAGATCAGTGTTGACAGGCTTCTGACCTAGAAAACTGTTAAGATAATAAATTTGTGGTATCACTAAGTGAGCAGATATTCATTACAGCAATAGGACAGCAATATACAAATGCAAAAAATATAGGTTGCGACAAATCAGAAAGATTTAAACAGCTGTTGAGTATTGGGCAAATACTGAGGTATTAATATTAATTTTTTTTTTTCAGTACTGGGGATCAAACTCAGGACCTTGCACTTGCAAGGCAGGCGCAGTGCCACTGAGCTAAATCCCCGGCCCAAATTAGTGTTAATTTTTGATGGGGTATACTAGTATTTGGGCTGCCCTTTTACATTTCTTATTGGACATATATACAAATGTACTTACAGATGAAATAATACCTCTAGGGTTTGCTTTAATACTGCTCTCAATAGATAGGCAAATTGGCAAAAAGTTGGTTATCTGTTAAAGCCGGGGGCTCATTATACTATTCTGTGTATGCTTGAGGTTTTCTACAAACTTTTTTTAAAAAGTGAATTAACTTTAGCAGCTGTGCGCTTAAGATCGGCACTGTCCAAAATAATTTTGTGATAATGGAAATATCCTATATCAGCTTTGTCCAATGCAGTAGTCACTGACCACAGGGTTATTTAACACTTGAAATATGTCAAGTACAGTTGTGCATGGTGGCACATGCCTATTGTCCCAGATACTTGGGAGCTTGAGGCAGGAAAGTTGTAAGTTTGAGGCCAGCCTAGTCAACTTAGTGAGACCTTGTCTCAAAATGAAAGAAAAAACCATAAAAAGTGCTGGGGATGTAGCTCAGTATTAGAGTACCTCTGGATTCAATCTCTAGTACCATAAAATATATATACAGTATTATATATGTGTGTGTGTATACAAAGTGCAACTGAGAAACTGAACTTTTAATATTATAATTTTAATTATATTTAAATAGCCGTTAAGTGGCTACCATATTACAGTACAGCTCTAAATTTTGGAAAACAGATGTGCTGCCTTACTATCAGAATTCAGTTAGTAAGCTCATTAATTAGTACACAGATATCATTTTTATCTTTTCAGCCTCCCTTTCCCTTTTGTGTTCTAGCAGTGTTCAGCTCTCACACGCACTCCCAAGCCCTTCTTCACCACAGAGATAAGGCTTGAGATCCAAGAAATAATTCACCTTAGTCCTCGCCAGAGTGACTGGTCCAAGAAAAATGATCAGGATCATAACCTTCGCCGGGAATTCCCTGAATTAGAAGTGTTAACAACTCCCTTGATCTGGAGTTGTAAAGATGGAACCCTAGAATTGTTGGATCATCATAATCCTAGGTTATCCTGAGAGAGTAAAACTAAGATTAGGACATAAGATGGAAAGACACATATTTTATTTTCCTTAGGTGATCAGATTCAGTCAACCCTGAGGGCAGCTCTGTCCGTTCTCTCCCGTTTTTCTAGGTAAACCCATCAATTCCTTTTCTATTATGCTTATGCTATTAAATTCTATCACTTGCAACCTTAGTCTTTGAAGTCCTGTGGAAAACTTGAGTCAACAGAAGAGTAAGACACCCAGAATGACTGGAGACATGACTTAAGTCAGTGCATACTAATACCCACTAAGTGTACAGATTAATAGCACCCAGTGAAACTCCCCGAATGCAGGTGCCTTGCTTTTCTCATTGCTGAGACAAAATACCTGACACTCACAAGTTAAAGGAAGAAAGGTTTATTTCAGCTCAGTTTCTAGAGGTTTCAGTCCATAGTCAGCTGGCTCCAAGCAAGGTGACGTGGCAGATGGGCATGGCAGAGTAGAAACAGGCCGTGCCAGGGTAGGCAAGCAGCAGCAAGTCTCCCTTTCCCTTTTATTCCACTCAGGCTACAAGCCTACTGGTTAGTGCCACCCACTCCTGGGTGAGGCTTGTGTTTAGTAAATCCAGTTACATCCAGGTTAGTGGATAATCCAGTACCACACACTTGTGATCCAGCCACCTTCCAAAAGCCACACCTATGAGCTTTTAGGGTGGCATCTAGATATAAGCCGTGATAGATTATTACCAGCTCCTTTTTCAGGTTGGGACATGCCCTGATTACCACAAACAATATACTACTGTGTAGACTGTTCATTATTCCAATTCTACTTTTGTTGTTGTTGTTTTGATAGGGTTTTACTATGTAGTACTGTAGTCCAGGTCAGTCTTGAGTTCACTATGTAAGGCAGGCTGGCTTTGAATTCATGATCCTCATGCCTCAGCCTTCGAGTGCTAGGATTACAGGAATGTGCCACCATGCCTGACTTCTACTCTCATTCTTGATTTTATTTTAGAAGACTGGTAGATTTTCAACTGACTTTTACTTTTTTAAATAAAAAGTCAATCCAGTTATTTATTTCATCAAATTATTGACTCATGTATTTTTTTTTGACTCATGTATATTTTTTAAGAAAAAGTTTTAGCAAGAGTAAGTAGCTAGAATTATCATATTACCAGTAATGGACTAATAATCCTGGGGAGAGGCTGTAAATCACAGGCAAATTCAAGCAATAATCTGTTTAAATTTTCACACTTTATTCCTTGTATCAATAGATTAAGAAATTAAAATTTTTCCAATACTGATTTATAGTAATGTTTTTATAAGTGGCAACAAAAAGTTCCGTTCCATAAAACAACATTCAATGATCTCTTTGTATGTAATTTTAATCCTTATTTTAAGATGAAGATAATAATTTAATGAAATAAGCTAAGTACACACAAAACCTGCATATCCTGAACTACACAAAGGGGTTTCTATGGTCACATATGGTTTCAATCAAGTATACATTTCCACAATGAGCAAGTACGTTAATACAACACTATTCCAAATGCTTATCTTGCCATTAGCCTTTTAATCATCGCCATTCCTACTACTGAAAGCATTTAGATTTAGAATCTTTGATCTGGGAAAATGAGTTCTCCTAAAACTTAACAAATACCTGTAGTATGTTATAAGGCAAAAGGCTTTTAAATCAACAAAAGCTTTAACACAGAAGCACTGACATGAAACTTATTTTGTCAAAAACAAAGTTATCTTTAAAAAAGATAGTAAATTATCTTTTAAGACATTCTTATAAAAACTTGTAGTTTCCTATATCATCTCCTTACACACAAAATGACTGTTGTCTAAAAACTTCAGAATACATGAAGCACATGCCTTAGCTGTCAGTCAAAAAGGCCCTTGAGATTTTACATATTAAACAGCTAGCATACAGCTTATAATGGCATGAATATATCTAATACATAATACAAGTTTATTCTTCAGACAGTCAAAAGTCAGAAGGGACTGCATGGTTTGCAAAGTACTTTAACTTATATGTAGTTGTTAAAATCTAGTAAGTAATTCAAGTATGGTCATATAAAGGCAGGCAATTAAAGCCTCAAATCAAATGCTCTAAAAACAAAGACACGAAAATAAAGGCTGAAAACTGTGTTTCTTCCTGTCATGTACATGCCTAAACATCAGGACATTACTGCAGAAAATAAACTTATATATGGTTTCCATAGAAGATAATGACATTTCAGAAAGTACACAAGGTGTCAAGACCCATAGTTTGCTTCATCAAATGCTTTTCTAGCTCGTTTCAATTCTTCATTCATAGTAAGCAAGTCTTTAACCCTAGCAAACTTCCTCGGGTCCTTTCGAATCAAGAAGACAATATCTTCGACTTGTACTCGACCTTGTCTTCCAATGGACATTGCCTTGTGAGTCTATTACAAAGAAACATTAAAGTCAATGTTTTTAATTGTTAGTATATGTTTGCGGTATACAATGATTATATTCATTATGAGAAGTTGGTACACATACATAACACTTCTTTTTTTTTTTTTTGGTCCCGGGGATCAAACTCTGGTCCTTGCATTTGTGCAGCAGGCAAGAAAACCACTGAGCTAAATCCCCGGCCCATGTAACACTTCTTAATTCTTTTTACATCCCCTTACCCTCCACTTCTACCCCTTCACTCCATCTGTTTAAATTCAATTTTTAAAAATCAACATTTTATTGTTTTAATTTACATTTATTAATTGCTGGTTAGGCTGAGGATTTTCTCTTCTAATTATTATACTTACTCATTTGTGAACTTTCTACTCATATACTTTGGCCATTATCTACTAGGTAATTAGAAATGTTTCTCTTTATGCTTCATAGGCATTTTTTTTTAAATACAAAGGACATTTTTGTTTATTGATCTTCTATTTTTTGTTGTGTTGCTTTGTTTTGTTTTGTTTTGTTTTGTTTTGAGACAAGGTCTTGCTATGTAGTTCCAGCTGGCCTTGAACACTATGTAGTCTAGGTTGGCCTCAAACTTGTGGCAATCCTCCGGCCTTAGCCTCCAGAGTGCTGGGATTACAGGCATGTGACACCATGCCTGCTCCTTTTTGTTTTTTGATATATGCAGTTTTTTTTAATTTGGTACTGGCTTTAGAGGCCAGCACCTCACACATGCTCAAACATACGTTCTATCACTCAGCTATACTCTTGCCTGACAGTTATTTTCTTCATCTGTATAAAATTATTTTTTTTGTTGTGGTACTAGGGGGATTGAACTTAGGGCCTTTGTACCGAACTGTATTCCCACCCCTTTTTTGTTTTTCTGTTTTTGTTTGCTTGTTTTTTCGGTACTGTGGATCAAACTTGGGTCCTTCTGCCTGCGAGGCAGGTGGCAGAACCACTGAGCTAAATCCCCAGCCCTAATGATTCAAATTTTATAAAAAGCTTTAAAAAATGTACAAAGATAAAATCATACTCACCAAAATGTTAGCATTAGTTGTCTGTAAGTGGAAGAGTTACATATATTTCTTTTCTCTTTTACTTAACTAGCCTGTTGCTCAGGCTGACCTCGAACTCTTGGTGATCTTCCTATCTAAACCTCCCAGTGCTGGAATTACAGGTGCATAACACCACACCTGGCAAAAGTTTATTTTCTTCTTTGTGCTTTTTTATACATTCTAAATTACATCTAATTGATTTCTAATTACTTTGTAGATTAAAAAAAATTTTTTTTCTTGGTATTTTGAGACAAGATCTTACTATGTAGTCCAGGCTGGACTTGAACTTGCAACCCTCCTGCCTTAGCCTCCCAAGTGCTAGGATTATGGGCATGTACTACCCTGTCTGGTTTTTGGGGGGTTTTTTTGTACCAGGGATCGAATTCAGGACCTTACGCTTGCCAGACAGGTGCTGGCACCACTGAGCTAAATCCCCAGGCCCTCCCCCTTTTTTTGCAGTACCAGGGATCGAACTTGGGACCTTGAGCTTGCAAGGCAGGCGTGGTGCCACTGAACTAAATCCTGGGTCCTGTCTGGTTATTTTTAATTGTTTGGTTTTCTTTGGAAGGGGCACTTGGATATAAATATACATACCTTTAAGTAAATATTGGAAGAGGAACAAAAAACTTATTTTGGATAATGAGATTATGGGCAATATTATTTTAGTTCAAGGATCTTACAATTATGTCTTTATAAATAAAACTCATGAGAAGGTGGAATATATTTATATAATCTTTATCCTTAATGATAAATAGTAACTAGGTACTTTCACAAAATAGGCACACAAATGGATACTTTATTTCAAAAGGATGCTGTAAGTTTTAGTCTTATCTAAACCTTAGAATTTTAAACTTTTTCTTCAATTAACTAAGACCATTTACAACAAAACAAACCCTCCAAAAAATAGTAACAGTTACAAAAGAATCTTACCATTTCAGTGATGAACTCTATGACAAGGTCTTCAAGAATATCCACTGACTCAGTATAAGGATTCTGGTCATCTCCAAACCCATACATCATACATCGTACTGTAAAAGAGCAATCACTTTTCTTCACATGAACAGATTTAACAATTTCATCAACATTTTTTTCACATCAACTAGAATGGAACCAAGTTATAGACAATACTGGTTTAAGAACATATTTACATTGTATTTCTTGTCTCCAGGTATGGACTGTATTGTAAAAGGTTTAACTGCAGCCTTATGGACAATCATCACCTAGCCTCCAATAAAACTCTCCTTCCTTCCCAGGTATACTAACATGAATATTCATTTCCTAATCTCTATCATATTTATTAGCAACCCCTAGAATCCTCTTTAAGAGGAGACTATGTCAGGGACAAGGTTAGCAATGCTTAGCATTTCCTGAGAGTTTTCTGTGTGGGGGGATGCAGTGGGGCATGGAAAACAGGAAGCAGAAGAATCTCTGAAATGACTACAGCTAAAAGGACATGAGAGAAAGTGTTCCCATTACCCTCTTATAGTAACAAATAGGGGAATCAAAAGGAGAAAGCAGGGGCCAGAAATGTAGCTCAGAGGCACTGCACCTGCCTGACAAGCACAGGGTCCTGAGTTCAATCCCTGGTACAAAAAAAAAAAAAACAAACCAAATAAACAAACAAAGAAAAGGAGAAGGCAGAGGGCTTATTCCAAAGAAGCTTGACATTTTAAATGCAACTGCCACAAAGCCCTTTCTGGTTTCATATGAAGGAAGCATAGAATATGCAAAAAAGGAAGTCTAATGCAGAGTGATAGCAATAACTGCTAATAGCTAAACCTTACATCCTCAGTATTGTTTTTAAGCCTTTATGTATATAATTCATTTAATCCTCACAAAAACCCTTTGAAGCAGACAAGGTTATGATCCCTGTGCTATAGGTAAGGAAAACTGAAGCAATGAGATAACTGCTTTACCCAAGGTTACACAGCGAGTAAGAGATGGAGCCTGAATTTGAATCTAGCTGATTTGGTTCATCTTTACTCTGACCCACAACAGCAGTAGTAGTTACTTCTTCATAGTTTAGGACAGATGGGATTCATATGGATTCTTAACTTACAGTCAATAAATCCAAATTAGTTCCCAGACTAGCTTTAAGGTCTTCAATTTGGCTTCATATTATGTATCTACAAAAATTCTATATATTATCTGTATATATGCATTTTTCTGGGGAGAAGAATTATAACATGCAATTCTCAAGTATGTAAATGCTGTCAAATGCTAGAAATGTTAAAATTCATCAAGTTATTACTCCCTTAAGACTTGTACTTTTTGTGTCCTCCAGCACTGGGGATTGAACCCAGCATTGTCACACTGAACTATATCCTTAACCCCTTTTTTAAATTTATTTTTTGTACTGGGGATTGAACTCGGGACCTTGTGCTTGCGAGGCAGGCAGCGGCACCACTGAGCTAAATCCTCAGCCCATTAACCCCTTTTTTTAAAATTTTGAGATAGGGTCCCACTGAGTTGCTAAATTGCCATTGGTGGGCTTGAATTTAAAATTCTCCTGCCTCAGTTTCCCAGGGTGCTGGGATTACAAATGTATGTCACTAGACCTGGCTTTGCACAACTTACAGTATGTGTTTTACACTTTTTTAAAAAGGAAGGAGGTGGCCATTGTGGCACATGCCTGTAATTCCAGCACTTGGAAGGCTGGCACAGGAAAGCTGCTGCAAGCTCAAGGCCAGGCTGGACTATACGGTGAGACCCTGTCTCAAAAAACCCAAAACAGGGCCGGGGATTTAGCTCAGTGGTTTCGCCGCCTGCTGCGCAAGCGCAAGGACCCGAGTTCAATCCCCGGTACCAAAAAAACCCCAACAAAAATAAAAAACAAACAAACAAAAAAACCCCAAAACAAACAAACAAAAAGCAAGCAGCGGGTGTAGCTCTGTGTGAAGGCCCTGGGTTCAATCCCAGGAACAGCTAAATAAAGAAGGAAGAAAGGAAGGCAGGAACTCTAAGAATACTTCTAAAGACAAGGACCCAAGTTCGAGCCCCAGTACCAAAAGGAATACTTCTAAAGAGATGGAAGGAAGAGGGAGGTATAAAAAGTATAAAGACGTAGGGCCGGAGATTTAGCTCAGTGGTTTCGCCACCTGCTGTGCAAGCGCAAGGACTGGAGTTCAATCCCCGGTACAAAAAAAAAAAAAAAAAAAAAAGTATAAAGACGTGTCATGTACTGTACATTTACCAACTACCCACAATGAATGTATTCATCATGTAATGCAAACACGTACTAATAGGAAACAAAGGGTGGGAGGGAGGAAGTAAAGGATGGAGAAAGAGAGGGGAAAAGAGAGAAAAAGAAAGATTGATTTCTATTTAGGAAAAGCAAAAACTGACAGAAGTAAAAAGGAAGAAAGCAGACCAAGCATAGGGAAGAAAGGGGTGCTAGAAAGTCAGCCCAGTGTAGAAGTATCACTAAGTTTTATACTGAGAAGAGCCGTTAGTTCCAGATAAAGGAAGGAGAAAACAACCACAGGTGAAAAAATTTCCTTTCTTGCTTTTGGATTTTTTTTTTTTAATTTTTTTTTTTTTGTTAAATAGTAAATTTCCTCTTTTTATTAAAATGAAAATTTCTTTTCCTTCATGGCCTTATTTTATCTTCTTAGTTAGAGCAATATTGATTAGGAAAGAGAATGTTAATCCCAGCATCAAGGATTAGAATAAAAGCATTTGCCTCATCACAGTCAATAATTATTCTTCCTAAAACAACTTCACTGTGAACAAAAATTCCTTTGATAATGGTACTGATAAATCTTTCCATCATTTATATCTTTTGGAGAGATTTATTACTACAATTCATGGTACATTTGCAGACAAGTTATGTTCTTACTGACCTGTGGCAATCAGACACTCACAGCAGTATGGTTTATTTTTAGATAAAGGTGTGGGAAAAATTACCAAAAAAAACTAAAAGTCATCATAATATAGGCATGAATAGTAAAATGTTAATGGAAAGAAAACAAAATTTTATGTAAGCCATAATATTAACTCCAACATAAAAGAAACTAGGCAAAATTATGTACTTAATGTAATATAAAATTATGTTGGGATATATGAAGGTGTTTTGTCAAAATATGAAAAACACAATATTGCTATTATACACGTTGTGTGAAAATAATTGACCTTTCTCAAAAACACATTCACAAGTCACTCTCTCCACCAAATATAAAATAACATCAAACACAAAATTATCTTGTTACACAGAATATGGAGTATATACACCAGCAAAGTTCAAATCAAACCTAGTGGGAAATCCCAACAATAAAAAGCAATTACAAAACTTTACTTTTTAATGGTCTATTCCTCCAAATTGTAAAAACAAAATAGAATAAATACTACACAAATACCCTACTTGGAAGTGAAAACTACACTTCAAGTCACCTTTTTCATTAGAGACAGCATGTTAAGTTCAGAGACAATGGCATACACAAAAATATATGATTATGTTAACTCAATTTTTTTCATACTAAAGACCACATATACATCAGATATTTACAAGTAATATACTGTAAAACACAGAATAAATATGTTTTAGGTTATTTCCATCTGAGAGTATATTTTTTAGAAAATCATGAAAAAATATTGACATCAAAATTTTCATATTATAGGGCCTGGGATTTAGCTCAGTGGTTCTGCCGCTTGCCTCACAAGCGCAAGGACCCGAGTTCGATCCCTGGTACCAAAAAAAAAAAAAAAAATTTCATATTATTTCTATAGGTCTCCATTACATGAGTAATTTTCACAGAATTTTCAATATATATATGTAGGGTTTCTCACCCATGTGACTTCTTTCATATATTTAATAATACCTGTATAAGCCAAATGCTTTCCTACTTTGCTTACATAGGCTTTTTCTCCAGTGGCACCTTGTTCATGTGTTTAGCACTGGATCAGAAAAACTTTTTTACACATTTCTTGCATAGTTACTTCCTAAAAACCCTATGTATGTAAGCATTGTGGGAAATCTTTCAACCGAAAGAGAAATTGTCAAATACATGAAACAATTCACACTGGAGAGAAACCCTATATATGTAAGCAATGTGGGAAAGCATTCAGAACACACAGTCACTGTCAAAGTCATGAAAGAACTCACCCCAGTGAGAAACCCCATGTATGTAAGCATTGTGGGAAATCTTTTACCTAACAGAGATATTGGCAAATACATGAAAGATTTCACACTGGGAGCAAAACTATATATGTAAGCAATGTGGAAAAGCATTCAGCACATATAGTCAATGTCAAAGTCATGAAAGAACTCACACTGGGGAGAAACCCTATGTATGTAAGCATTGTGGGAAATCTTTCAACCGAAAGAATGGTTGTCATGTACATGAAAGAATTCACACTGGGGAGAAACCCTATGTATGCAAGCATTGTGGGAAATCTTTCACCCGAAAGAGTGCTTGTCATATACATGAAAGAATTCATACTGGGAAGAAACCCTATGTATGTAAGCATTGTGGGAAATCTTTCAATGGAAAGAGTGACTGTCAAATACATGAAAGAATTCACACTGGGGAGAAACCCTATTTATGTAAGAATTGTGGGAAATCTTTCAACTGAAAGAATGGTTGTCATGTACGTGAAAGAATTCACACTGGGGAAAAACCCTATATATGTAAGCATTATGGGAAATCTTTCAACCTAAAGAGTATAAAATACATGAAAAAATTCACATGGGGGAGAAACCCTATGTATGTAAGCATTGTGGGAAATCTTTCAACCAAAAGAGAGATTGTCAAATACATGAAAGAATTCAAACAGGTGAGTAAGCACTTATGTGTGTAAGCACTGTGGGAAAGCATTCAGCACATTCAGTCATTGTCAAAGACATGAAACCATTCACACCATGGGCACCCTATGTATGTAAATGATGTGGGACAACATACCCTACACAAAAATATTTTTAAATACATGAATGAAGTCATAATGATGAGAAACTCTATGTGTATCAGTAATGTGGGCAATCTTCAGCTAATGGAGTTCTGGTCAAACACATGAAGAAATTCACACTTGGACAAAACCCTATGTATGTAAGTAATGTGGGAAAGCATTCAGTACACTAAAGTGCCATCAAATACATGAAAGAAGGCACCCTTTGGCAAACTGTATGTAGGCAGAGTGGGAAAAGATTTGAGGCAATCTTTTCATTTTGTAGACAAAAAATTTTCTTGCTTTTGGATTCTATAATTTTGTTTGCATTAAAAAATTTTTTCCAGAAGATGCAGAAACGACTCCAGACATCCTCAGCTACCTCATCTTTGACAAAGGAACCAACCATCCTCACTGGAGGAAAGACAGCCTCTTTAATAAATGGTGTTGGAAAAACTGGATTTCAACCTGCCAAAGATTAAAACTGGACCCCTATCTTTCACCGTGCACTAAACTAAAAAAGAAGTGGATTAAGGATCTAAATATTAAAACAGAAACACTAAACTTGCTGAAAGATAAGTTAGGTAGAACTCTTGAAGACACTGGCATAGGAAAAGACTTACTTTATGAACAAAACCTCAGTAGCATGGGAACTAGCACAAAGTATCAACACCGGGGATCTCATCTTATTAAAAAGCTTCTGCACAGCAAGAGAAACCACCAACTGAGCTAAGAGACAACCCACCATATGGGGAAAAAATTTTATCAGGTGTTGCGCAGACAAAGGTCTATTATGTAGAATATATAAAGAACTTAAAAAAATCAGATCCCCCAAATTTAAAGACCCAATTCAAAAATGGGCATCTGAAATGAACACATTTCTCAGACAAAGAAGTAAAAGCAACAAATAAACATATGAAAAAATGTTCAACATCACTGATCAGTGGAGAGATGCAGATGAAAACACTGAGATTCCACCTCACCCCAGAAAGAATGGCTGATATCGAGAAATAAACCAGTAACAAATGCTGATGGGGCTGTGGGGAGAAAGGAACCCTTCTCCATTGTTGGTAGGAGTGCAGACCACTGTGGAAATCAATAAGGAGATACCTCAAACAACTAGGATTAGAGGTCCCATTTGACCCAGCTACTCCCCTGGCTGGTTATCTTCCCCAAAGAATTAAAAGAATCATACCACAGCAATATATGTGCACCCATGTTTACAGCGGCACAGTTTGTAATAGCTAAAACTTGGAAACAGCCCAAATGCCCATCAACTGGAAACTGGATAAAGATGGGTTTTTTTATAAAATAGAGTACTACTCAGCCATAAAAATAAGAAACTAAATACATTTATAGCTAAATGGATGAACATAAAGGCCATACTATTAAGTGAAATAAATAGCACACGTGTAAATACTGAACAGTTTCTCTGGTATGAGAAACTTAAAGTGTGAATAAGGATCAAAATGTGTAATTGATAATGTGAAATAGGAAGAAAAGGTTTAAAGGGGTAGGGGAAGTTGGAGGGATAGGGGAAAGGAAAGAAGGGAAAGGAATAAATATGAGAAAAGGAAAAAAAGGAAACAAAATCTTTGTAAATAGGGAGGGGTGGAGGGGGTGAAGGGAGGGCAGGGGAATGGGGAAAAAATAAGAACCAAGATACATCATGTAAAGGTACAAGATCCCAATGATGAATGTAACTGTATTGTTGTACACCTAAAATGTACCAATAAACAATGAAAAAAATTTTTTTTTCCAGGTTCCTATCAAAGATTCCACTCTACTTAGTTGCCTTGGTTTTCTCCATCCAAACTGTGACAATTCCTGAGCTTTTCCCTGTCTTTCAAGACTTTGATATTTTTGAAGTTATCGTCTGACTATCCCTCAATCTGAGTTTGTTTGATGTTTTCCCATGCTTAGACTGAGGTAACACATTATTAGGAAGGACACTGAGAGATGACATGCCCTCACATCAGGGTACATGATGTCAATATATCTAACTGGTGATGCTAACTTTGATCATTTAGCTAACGTGATGTCTATGGAGATTCTCCACCTTAAATTTACTGTTATTTCCTTTAAAATTGTGAGGAAAAGAGTTGCTAACATTTTAGAACTCACCAATAGGAGAATGTGTTTCACTGGAAAAGAACTTATGTTTTGTAGGAAGAATATAAACTGTTTTGGTTATAGGGTCTGTAAAGGGATAAACAAATGCCAGTGAATGCTGTGAAATTCTGTTATATTAACAAAAAAAAAATTAAAAGAGAGTTTAGGAGAATGGCTCTTGGGTCAGTAAAATACATGAAAGTTCTGGAAAGACAGGGAGAAAGCTATGAACATTCCAAATTCTTGTCATCACAAACATACAGCAATTTAAGTGGAACAAAGGACTTTGGTAATAATCAACCGTGCAAGTATGATTCTGTGATGCTCTGGTGAAGAGATCCTTCCTATCCTGACATAACAGTAAAAGCACATATAAATCAAATAATTGGGATCAGAGGGATGGAATAGTGGTCAGCTTTAACTGACAAATTATATGGAAAGGATCTGGGTGCTTAAAAAAATAAAGATATGCTAACCCTGCAGTTTTAAAAGCATTTAGGGTCTGCTCACATCTTACTCAGCCTAAGTAAACTCGATACATATTTAGAAATCAGTGTTGCTGCATCTCTCAATACTCAGCAGAGCACATTTTCATGATGCCTTCAGGGGCTGACCTGGACAAGAGCAGCACCAGCGGCTCTCCCTTTCTGCTGCGGCCAAAAAGTCAAACCTGTCTACTGAGGCAGGAATTGTTAAGGCCTCATGCTATTCACCATCTTCCTGTTCACTGCCTTAGTTGTAATCTCCAATTTAGATCCTTTCCTCAGCATTTGTTCCAGGATCCATTACTACCTGTAACTTACAATCAGAGGAATTCCTATATCTACTCTCCAAAGGTAAGGCACATGAAAAATAATAGGGTTATGTTCTGCCCTGGATTAAAACATTAATCATGTTTTATTATTTTATATAATTAGGGTTAGGGTAGGATGGTTACTAGGTATGGTTCAAAAGTTAAACAATTTTATAGCTAAGTATGAGAATACTGTCACTACAGGAAAACATATTTCAGACAATAAATTTACTTTTTTTTTTGAGACAGGCTCTCGCTTTGTAGTTCAGGCTGGCCTTGAACTCACTACGTAGTCCAGGCTGGCCTTAAATTCACAGTGATCCTCCTGCCTCAGACTCCAGAGTGCTGGGACTACAGGTGTACACCACCATAGCTAGCAATAAATTTACTTTAAAAGAATATGTCCAAAAGCTTTCACCATCTATAATAAAATCACTGTTAAATACAACTTACATTCTTTAGAGAAAAGTCTCTTTCTTTTGCCCTGTCCACCTTCAGCACCTCCTCCAACTTCTTCATTTTCCTCCTCAAACTAAAAATTAAAATATACACACAGAAATGTCAAGGGATTGCATGAATTTGGCATTTTAATAATTAACATTTTCGTTTTCATTTTCAATGCTGATACTGGCTGGGGTACAAAGCCTAAAGCAAGAAGCAAAAAAAATTACGAATTCAGCACTGAAGGAGTCTTTAAGAACCTAATCCTATTTCCAAGTCATACAGGATCTTTTTTTTCTTTTGCAACCGTTTCTCTATGTAGTCCCGGTTGGCCTCAAACACGAGATCCTCCTGCCTTCAGCTGGAGTTCTGGGATCACAGGCATACGTCACCACGGCAGGCTGTGTTGTTTTCAGCCAACTACGCTGTCCTATTGCTCAACAGTGTTACTGTTAAAGATCTGATATTGAACCAGTCTACTCCTTGCAATAAGTAAAACTAATATTTACTAAGCGCCTGCTTATCCAGTGCGAAAAACATACGTTGAGTAAGCCTTGACTCTATTTTATGACGAGAACGGATGCTCAAAGTTAAATAACTTGCTCAGAGAGAAACAAGAATTTGAATTCCAAGATTCCTACTTCCAGTCCATTAGCAAATACTATGACCAATGACTCTAAGTGTTTTAAAGGGTGTCTGGCAAATCTACAGCAAAACCAAAGCGAAAGGAGCCACTTTTCCACTCTCCCTTGACGTCCTGCCCCAAGTGATAAATCATTTATCACAGGGAAAGCAAACAGGTAAGTGCCCGAACTTTCTCGGCTGAACTCACTGAGGAAAATAGACTCGACTCTCAATTCTGCCCCCGCTACTAGGCCTTAGAGAGTGATGAAAACAAGATTGGAACACAAGTGGTCACTCACTGTAGGATCCTCTTCCTCATCTGCCATTCCACCAGCCAGCAAAGCTCCGGTGCCGAAACAACTCAAGGCTAGCAGACTTTACTACTTCCTTCGCGTCACATCCGGTGACGTGAGGGCGGGGCAGAGACAGATCCATCCTGCGCCCGAGCAAACGGAATGCTTTCTTTCACTCTGAGCAGTTGAAACCTGATAGTCCCAGGAGAAGGGGGATGAGCCCTTGCCTTGGTATCCCGAATGAGGGAGTAAAAGTTACAAAGAAAAACACACCAGGGGCTAGGCGGCATGTATCTCGTTGTTAGTTCTCACCCAGACCGTATGCCTATACGGACGGAATTTAAAATTTTGTAAGGAAGGTAGGTTTGGTTGGAACATCATCAGTAGAAAGTCGTAAACATTAGAAGACTAGAGGTAGCGTGTGAATGAACTACAGTGTAAGAGGTGAAGCCTGGTGTAGTGGCACGTGGCTGTAATCGCAGCACTCTGGGACCCTAAGGCTGGAGGATTAAAGGTTTGACCCCAACCTGGGCGATTTAGAGGCTTTGTGAGATCCTGTCTCAAACATATAAAGGGCTGAGGATGTAGCTCAGCATGAAGGCACTGGATTCAATAACCAATTTAAAAGAAAAAAAAAAGTGCCTCACAACAAAAAATTTGAATGTCTTGCTGGACATTCAATGAATGAAAAAGATGATTATCTGAAAACCAGAATCTATCTTTGTTGTTAACATTCAACACAGCTTTTCTCCACATTTTAAATGCACATTCATTGAATTTTTCTAGGATGTTACTACTCCAAACTTGTTAGTACATTATACTTTGTCTCGTTTGGATTTTGCTAAGAGCTTTGGGGCATTTTAGGAAAAAAGTCACACAGGTAACATCATTTGTGATAATTTAAATAGTCAAACTCATCCAAATCAGTCTGCATTTGTAGCTTCTGGATTAAGGCGATTCTACTTGCAAGAATCTAAAATCATCCTACCCCTTAGTGTAGTTATGCCTGAGCATTTACATATCACAACACAGTATTATACAACACTGTCCTTTTTTTTTGGTGGTGGTGGTTCTGGTAATCTGTCCCGGCCCGCGGGTAAGTCAACGGAGACCCTAGGGGGGGGTGAGAATGACAAAGGACAGGGGACACGAGAGATGGAGACAAGACAGGTTTCTGATCAAGTCTCGTTTATTGCGGAAGCTGCTACAACATATATACCGTAGGGCTAG